AGATTTCGCAAAGTCATAAAACTCAAAGGGCGACAATTCGGGCAGCTTCTGAGCTTGCCTACATGCATTCACCGCGGCGTGCAATAAAGTGAAGTTCGTTAGACCGGGCACCTCTACCGGTGCCTGCCAGGACATGAAGAGCCCCAACTTCGAAGCACGCTCGTCGACATCCAAGCTAAGTACGTCCTCACCGGTCATCTCTACTCTACCATGAGTAACTTCATATTGCGAATCACCCATGATAGTTCTGGCAAGGCTGCTCTTCCCGCACCCATTGGGGCCAAGGAGGGCCACTACTTCGCCGGGCTCGAGGGATAAGGTAACACCGTTTAGGATCGACACCTCGGGATCCTCGCTCAACACAGCATGCAAATTGGACACGTTCAAACCAGCAGAGGCTCTTGCATTCGAATTCTCGCTCGCCCTCATCTTTATCCGACCTACTACCTGACTCACTGCTCCTACCGCTCCACCGACAACAAGTAGCTGCAGGAAGCGCTGGCCTAGAAACAGCGAGGCTACACTCCCAGGGGCATACAGGGAATGCGACACGCTAGTATAGGGCATCCCACCCACTGTGCTGCGACTTATTGTTGGCGAGAACGGAGAAATAAATAAACTCGCTGTGGAGGCCACTGATGAATACAACAAGTAGCATCCAATGAGCAAGAAAGTCAACCCTGGTAGGACGGAGGAGCGGTTCATATACGATAAAGGGGGAGGAGGCCGCATGGGAATACAAAGCAAATACAACCTGGGCACCTCAACTTCAACGACCAATACCACAACAGAGCTGTGCAATTGGAAACGATTACACATGCGTCCCATTGAGTGAATTACCATTGGACCGGAATACAGCCACGCCGATTTCTAGCCCAAAATGAGACAAGGCCTGGCGGACCTTCACTGGGCACTCCTAAACACCCAGCATGATGAAATCAGGTCGACATTATACCCTACGCGTGCGGAGTAGTACTGGACAAGGAAGGACGTGGCCTTGCCCAGGTCCTCCGTCCTTGTCTCATCCTGTACAAACCGCCGTAGTAGCTGAGACATCGATAGTAACACCAGTAGTAGTAATAGGCGACGCCGCCTCACCACCTCAGCGTAGACTTCTGCCACCTTATCGTCGTCCCCCCGCATT